CTGTTGCCTTTTTAATTGAATGATCCGTTAGCTGAGTATAATACTCTTGAGTCCCATTTTCTTTCCCACCTAACTTTGCAGATATTATCCCATTGCTTTCTGACATTAAATGTAGCTTAAGACTGCCAGATGAAATACAGGATGCCCAGTTAAATTTGAATTTCAGATGAACAATGAATGTTTTTAGTATAAGTCTGTTCCAAATGTTACATCTAAATTTTAAAATTGAACTGAGCATCCTATATTTTTCTTTGCTGCATTGGGCGACCTTAATGAAGCTGTGGAAAAGTTGAGTCTTCCACCTCCTTACCTCATAGATGACTTGCTTTTTTTTTTTAATTACCTGCATGCCGAAATTTCTTTTTTAAACTTGAAGTTCAATATTGAATATCGTTTGTTTTCTCTTTTTTCCCTGGTACAAAGGATACCCTTTTGATATTAATATTTCCTTTTACCTGCATTTCAGGAACACAGTTGTCTAGTATGTTAGATTACCTGTCTGTTTTCCATATCTATCTTTCCTATTTATCTTTTTGCTTCTGCATATACGTACTGAGACTATCTCAAATATTTTCCCATGCCTATTTTCAACCCTAAAATATTCTTCTCCTTGCTGTCTCAGATTAATTTTTAGAAGTGTAATGGTAAACAAATTTCTTAACCTCTGCAATCTCACTTTCCTCACTCTGTTGTTTTATCATCTCATCTGCTACTACTTGTTTATTGAATTTATATTCTTACAAAGTCTTTTATAATTTGTAGTACAGAAATTATGAGTATAAGAATAAATCTTATTCTTCCAGATTCTAGAAGGGGGCCTTCTGTCTTTTATTTATTCATTCATTCATTTATTACTGTTCCTTTGTTTAAAACTACCTTCCTTATATTATTGATTTATCTGTCTATCTCTCCAGACATTTATTTAGCTGTAATATGGTTCCATGGTTTCCCCGATATTTTATTTCATCTTGCTAATGCCAAATGTGAGTAGCTTTGTGCAAATCTGTCTGCTCGGAAATTGTATGGGTAAATTTTAATTGATACCTTTCCCACTTTATACAGGGTGAGTCTGTCCTTTTCCCTGTTGGAGGGCTGGATATTACATTCTTTTGTATAGGTGTAAGCCATGCAAAGAAGGCAAGGGAGATAATTCACCGGAACTGAGTTCACGCCTTGCTAGGGAATCTGAAATCCGCTTTTTCCTCTGAGGCCTTATTAAATTTCCAGTGCTAGAATCCATTTTACCATCATGTTTGAAAGGAATTGAGAGTTAACAAAGCCTTCTATACTTTGGGGAATTAATTTAAGGAGATAACATAAAGGCTTTTTTTTTTTTTTTTTTTTTTTTGTAGAAGAAGCGTTATAAACTGCTTAACACCATCCTCAGCCTGGCACAACTACAAGTTTCATGGAATTTGTTACTCTTTCATTCAGATTTCAACCTGAAATCTTTTGAAATGTACCTCTGTGTGGAGAGAGGGAAGGCAAGGGGAAGAGTGACTTTAAGACCCCTCCGTTTTAAGGAGGTATGCACAGTGCATGCTCATTGGAGGGCAGCTGGGCAAGCTGGAGTGTTGTGTGTCAAAAGGACCACAATATCAATATAGCAGACATTATGTGTCTGCTTTGTTTTAAAAACAAATTAATTTTATGTGATTATTACAGCATTTCATATATGGCTTTAGGGATAGGCCCTAACATTCATAATCAGCCTTTATCTCTCTCTACTTCTCTACACAAACTTTCCATTTCAGCCAAAGTGGCCAACTCGCTGTGACCTAAACAAGTTTTTAATTTAGTCTCTGCAATTTGGCTTCTGTCATGCCACTCCTCTGAAATACCTTCTTTTACACATTCTTACACAGTCTTTAAGATTCAGCTAAAAGTCCACCTCCTTCACAATGCATCCTCTGATTGTGCCAGTCTAAAGTGATTGCTCTCACACTCCCAGAATGTGTTACTTTCTGAGTAAATTCTTCAGCTCTATCTTCCATTTCACTAGTTCACCCTTTAGCTCTCTCTAATCTGTGGTTTAATCTATCCACCAAGTTTGTATTTTAATGACTAAATTTTTCATTTCAAAGCAAATCAGTTGGTTATTTTTCAAGCCTGCCTGGTCTTTTTGGTAGTGCCTTGATATTTATCATATTTTTTTCCTAGAGAATAGGTTTAGTCATAGTTTATAGTACATATTTAATAAGCTCATCATCTAAAGGACTTGAGGGCCTAATCTAACTGTTGGTTGTGTTGGCTACCAATGTATCTTAATTTTTTTTTCTTTTTGGATGGTGAGCTCATGTTTAGTGTGGCTTTATCTGCAGGAATCTTTTGTGGTCTGGGTTGAGGGTGTGACTGACTCTCCAGACAAGATCGGTGTTTACTTCTACAAGGGGAATCACTGGATGGGGACTACTTTTTATGTTCATTTCATGGGGTGGGGTATACTGGACCATAAAGGGAGTATATATTTGAGCCAGAAATACAACTGAGTGCAAAACTTAGGTTCCAACTTTTCAGGTGGGGGACCTGAACAGGGTGATTGTCTTGCTGGCAGTGGGTAGATTTTGCTTCTGTTCTACCTTTTCACTATGACATAGCCCTTTGGAGGTTATAGCTTTAGGCAGTCATTCTGCTTTGCTCTGGACTGACATGTAGGTGCTTGTCCTCATTTGGCAGTTCTAACCTAATCTTCTTGGTTACAGAAACGAGCAAAACCCACCATTCAAAAACCCTGAACAGCAGGAGCTTTTACTCCCCCCCTCTTACAACTTTCCTTTTTCAGTTTTCCTCTCAATTTTTGGTTTTTGAGGGGAATTCCCTTAGTTTCCTCGTATCTCAGCTTTATGTTAAAAAGGATGTTTATTATGTTTCATCAATTATTTCTTGGTGTTTTGTGTTGGAATGGTTAATATTACCTTATACACCACATTATAAGAAATGGAAGTTTACAATTGATTCAATAATTAATCATAGAGAGGCTTCTGACAGATCTCCTATTGTTGTCTTGACCTATTATTTAAATCTTAAGAAATTTTTCACATAGTTTCTCTTCAAATAAATTACCCCTCCAAAAAAAATGAAGCCAGGAATTGTATCTCACAGTCCTTTTTGTTTATGATAGTGTTTTGCCTAGCATGGCTCCAGGTTGATTGATAGACAATAAATTGGTTGAAAATATTTGGTTGAGCACAACTGGTCAAAGAAACAAATTGATTGAAAATTAAACTGAATATTCCAAGTTTGCTTTTTTCAAATATTGATAATTTGATACACCATTAATAATTAAAGAAATATTTATAAAATAGAGATAGAATGTTGAACAAGACAGATATGGTGTTTCCCCTTACAGAGATTACAGCACAGGGTAGGTTTATGGTTCTTTAAATGTTTTAAAGCATATGTATCCATTTCTTCTCCAGAAGTTTGAGTCTTCACACACACACTACTTTTTTGGTTTTTTATTTATAATTCATTCTCATCCACTTATTCCTGCTATGCTGGTTTGCAAATGCTGTAAGATATTGTTACATTTGCTTCTATCTCTAAATGAATTGTCTATAAGCAAATTAGTATATGAATTAACACTTACAATATTCAGTTCATGTTTTTATAATTTCTGTGCAACCTAGAATAATTGCACAAATTTTAAACAGTCATAAAAGTAATTTTGTCTACCTTCTCATTAGCCTTTTCATCCTTTTAATTTTCAACCATCACAGACTTAATTTACTTAACATGTTTTTACTATCTTTGCATAAACATTTATTTTTTAAAGTTTTCTTAGCTGTATATGACATTTTGTGGCCAGCATTCATACAGTGTTTGCTGTCGGGACTGAAGCTGTAGTACAAAGCATGTGCAACCACAATGTGAATGCAAGGACAAGCTTGAGGTTGCTTACGCTGCTGGCCTGCAGGCAGATCGATCTGATGTTTGCCTTGCCGCTAGACAGGAGACAGGAATCTCTTACTGGATTTTAAGAAAGATAGAAAAACTATATCTAAACATTGGTCCTCATATGATTTTCATGGACTTTGGGTCATCATTAATCAATGTAGCTAGTTATAGTTTGAGGTCAATGAAAAATAAACCTCAGTTTTCTTTGATGGAAGGCCACTTTTCCAGCTGATAGCTGATACCTCTACACACAGGCTTTCAAAGAATTAGAAATTTTAAAAATAAATGGAGTGAAAATTACTCTAATTCTGAAAAAAATGAACAAAAATGCTTAAAGGCACATAAAAGGTTGCAAAAATCATCCCAGATTGCTCAAAAATGTTCAATAAGTAAAAATCAATCATTGGGAATAATTATTTCAACAATTTGCATTCAACAAAATGGTCTGGGACTCCCTGATAATAACAGCTAGCATTTATGAGCTGCGACAATATTGCCCATCCCACATACTCTTTTTAAGATGGGCCTTTGACACTCCTTTCAGAGAGAGGTAGGGAATCCATGTTCCCTTCCCTTGAATCTGGGCAGGCTTATTACTATGGCAGAAGTGATGCTGTTTGACCTCTGAGGCTAAGTCATAAATGGTGATACAGCTTCTACCTGATTCTCTGGAGTTGCTCATCCTGTGAGGAAACCCAGACTAGCTTACTCAGAGAGACCACATGGAGAGGCCCTGTGTAGCTGTTCTAGCTGATAGCCTGGATGAGTTCCCACCAAAGCCAGCAGTAACCACCAGACACGTAAGTGAAGATGGCCTGAAATGATTCCAGACTCTAGTTGTGGAGTCAGTCCCAACCTTTGAGTGTTCCAGCTGAGGCCCCAGACATTGTGGTACCATTTCTGCTGTGCCCATCTGAATTCCAGATCCACAGAACCCACAAGCATCATAAGATAGTTGTTTTATAACACTATGTTTGGGGTGGTTTGTTGTGCATTGGTAGATAACCAGAACATAGCCTCCCTCACATATGGCTCAAAAGGATGATGAAGAGAAATCCTCTCACAATAGAGTTTCAAGCAGCACATCCCTTTGCCTACCTTGTGTGGAAAGGGAGATAGCCTGAGGTCAGCAGCTACACGAATTCCTTGGCACTGGCTAAAGATCTGAGTAATTGAACATGACCTAAAAGAAACAAAATTGGAAGATTGGTGACAAGGATTGGGAAAAGGCTATATGGATGAATGTCTCTGAGTGGACTAAGAGACTGAGACTATTTCTATTCCGTGTGAATGATCACCAGAAAGCCCCCACGGCCTTGCTTACCCATTGTTGTCAGCTAGACTTCATTCCTAGCCCAGAGCTTGCTCAGAGGGCCCAAGATGGTCTGGATGGAGCCCATGCATGGGGATGAGAACAAGCCTGTTCTCTCCTTGACAAGGCTAAATGCCCTATTTTCCAGAAATCTTCTTTTGCGGCCCACAAATCTTGCTTCTTTTTTAAGGAATTGATTGTTCTCTGAAGAGAAGAAGAAACTCTCCTAATTATATTTAGTTTGAACCAGCTGAAATTGCTATTTTTCTAAGTTAAATGGTTGAATATTAGCAATGTCATATGGTTTAACCCAATATTCAAGAGATTACTTTTTTGAGGATGGGCGAGTAGAATACCCAAAAAAGACCAAATAAAAGCGCAACTTATTGGTCTTTGTGCATACTGCCCAAGATCAATTCAAGAGCTATATCAGTGGAGTAGTTAGCTTATGTCTTTATTCCATGATATAATCTTCTTAGTTATATAAAAATGCTGACTGTAATGTCAGTCAAACAATCCCTCGTGAAAGCTTAGTAATGTAGGAGGATTGAGAAAAATGAAGGGAGAAGGAGGGTAAAATGACTGGTAGAATTAAAAGGGAAGCAACTTCTGCCATCATAAAAGACACACCTGACTGCTTTACTAAATTTGAAGAAGATGAAGTACAGAAGCGCTTACCTGTCTGAGTCATGGGTAAGCTGGAAGACAGTAATTGCAATACTCTTTATTTCTTTCCTGAAATTTGTCTCCGAAGATAATGGCAAGTTTATTAGAAGAAGATAACATTTCTTCCAGAAGAAGTCATCTGGAAATAAAGGAAAGCATGAAATGTCTCGAGCACAACATGCTTTGCTATGTCTTGCCCAAGAAAAGCCTTTAGAATGTGCCAAGCAATATCTCACTTCAATATGCCAAGCACCAAGCAAAATGCACTTAGGGAAAATATACTCAGTGGAGGACACACAGTCACACCACATCATCTTCATTTCTCCTTCTCATTCACCCACAACATGCAAATTCAAAATTCAAATAGTATTTGTTGGCAGCTGTCCTAGACTCTGGGGGAACATCAGTGAACACAACATACAGAGTGGGAGCTCCTTGGGAACTGGCTTTGTGGAATTGGGGGCGGGAGCTAGGTAACAAAATCCTGACTGTAATACATAAGTCAATTGATAACATGGGTTAAAAGGTCATAAGAGCTATGCAGAAAGAAAAGAACAGAAGAGCGAGAGAAAGGGTTTCAGGAGTGCAGGACCTCAGCAGCAGAGGGCAGCTTGCAATTTTAAATCAGGTGGTCAGGGTGGAGCTCATGGAAAAGGTGAGATTTGAGCAAAGATGTGAAGAAAGTGAGAGTTAGTTAGCCAAGTGGATCTGGGACAAGAGCATTCCAGGTAAGAGGAATAACTAGTACACGGGCCCTGAGGCAAGGGGACATTTCTTGTGTGTTCTTTGAACAGTAGGGAGGCCTGTAGGGCTGGAGTGGAGAGAGCAAGGAGAATAGGACAGGCGATCCGAGGACCGGCAGCATCGGCTTCACCTGCGGGTTGGTTAGAAATGCAGAATCTCAGGCCCCACCCCAGACCTACTGTGTCATAGTCTGCATTTTAGCAAGATCCCCGGGTAATTCATATGCACATGAAAACTTGAGAGGTGCTGATGAAAACTTGAGAGGTGCTGATGTCAAGTCTTAAAGGCCCTTGTTAGCACCTGGATTTTGACTATGAGGGAGATGCAGTCATTGCAGGCTTTTGAGCACAGTAGCCCCGAGCTCTGCCTTATGTTCAAAAGGATCCCTGTGGCCTGTGTGTTGGAAAGCGCCTGCAGGATAGAAGCAGAGGGAGCAGTCAGGAGGAGATTACTGTGATCTAGGGATAAGATGACATGACCGGGTGGGGACCAGCACGTAGGAGGCAGGGGTGGTGAGCCCCTAGCAAACTGCCTGATCCTGCCCCCTCCCCAGCCCGTCTCCTCCTCTCCAGCTCCCCTTCGTCAGTTTCGATCCGGGCACATGGGTCAATAAGACATCGAAGAGTTAGAGAATGCTTCAGAAGGAAGTGACCTTTCCAGTCAACTCCCTTAAAGAGGGCCCTGGGTCCTATGGGAACAAATAAGGGCGGCCTTACAAAGTCCCCATCATAGCCAGAGGAGTCTTCAAGAGGAGATGCTTAAGCTGAGATTAGGAGGAGTGGGAATTAAGCTAGGAGAGGGGAGAAAAGAAGAAAAGGACATTCTGGGAAGAAACAGCAACATATGTGAAAAGGGCAGATGTGAGGAACTGTATGACACACTCTGCCTGAACAAAATAGGGGGGCGGGGGCACTGGCAGGAAACGAGACTAGAGGACTAACCAGATCCTGGAGTGCCTCGTGCGCTGCAGCGAGGAGTTTGAAATATCCAGAAAGCTCTGAAGACATAATGTCAGATTTCAAGGTGGGAGTAAGTTGCACAGTTAAGAAAGAGCATTTAGGAAACAATGCGGAGGATACATTAGCCAGGGATGAGACTGGAAACAGGGAGAGCGGTGATCAGTCAATAAAGGATGAGAGTAATTCATCCCAGGACCCAGAGCCCAGGACTGGCGGTCAGAAATGCCTGAGCCCAGATCCGACTGCCATCTCTGAGCTTTATAATCTAGGCAAGATCCTGAACTTCAATTTTTCTTCCATGAGATCAGGTATTCCTCATTTCCTTGATGATATCTCAGGCTACTGTTGAATCAGATGAGATACTATATATAAAGCCCTTGGCATGCAATAAATATTCAACAAGTTGCCTGATAAAAGCATTCCAAGAGATCCTAATTTGTAGCCAAGGACGAACCGCCGATCTAGTCCTACTAGTTCATTTCTGTATAAAAACACAGAGGCACACAAAAAAGGAATTATTTGTTCAAGGACACACTTCTAGCTAGTAAAATATCAGGACTCAAGTCCACCACATTTGGATATTGTGATGTCTCTCTCAGCCACATCTGTAAGATGGGGATGATGACAGCGTCTACCTCACAGGGTTGTCAGAAGGATGAAATTCATTAAGGCACACAGGACACTCAGCACAGTTCCAGGCACCATCAGAAGCATTAATGAAATGCTAGCTATTGTTATTAGCTATGTTCTGACTCACAGACCAGCGTTCTTTCCAAATCTCTGCCATATTTTATAAACCTCTCATGAATTTTAATCGTTGTTTGCCTCATTCCTCATGACTACACTCATGGGAATAATTTTTTAGATATTGAACTGAAAGAAAAAATTAACAAGCTGACACATAGCACGGGGAGATCAGCTCGGTGCTTTGTGACCACCTAGACGGGGAGGGATAGGGAGGGTGGGAGGGAGACACAAGAGGGAGAAGATATGGGGTTATATGTATATGTATAGCTGATTCACTTTGTTATAAAGCAGAAACTAACACACCATTGTAAAGCAATTATACTCCAATAAAGATGTCAAAAAAAAAATTAATGAGCTGACTAGTTCTAATTCTTCCTGCCAGCTGATGATACCCAGAGTTTTAATCAAATGAACCAAATATAACTGTGTATCAAACATCCGTGCTCATGCGTAGGCCCTGGCCAGGTGCTGTTTGTGCTGTCACTGGGTTTTTTATGTCACCATTTCCTGTGTGTAATCAGTAATCGACACTGAAGCTCTGACAAAATGACCATTTTTAGAGTGCCATTAGCTGCCTCCCTGGGTTTGGCTGTAAATGTAACATAAGTAGGATCTTTAATACATCAATTTCTTATTGCAGGCATGTGTATCTTCCTGAAGTTAAGAGCTCTGGGAGGAGCTGAGTGGGTGGGTATTTTGGCTTGTTTTTCAGCTAAAAGATGACTTTGATGTTCTTTTACTATTACCTGAAATGTGTGTGCTATTGCAGAAAGCAATATCCTTCTCAAGGGAAGAACATGGGTACTGCTCGAGCTAAAGTACTGTTTTTGTTATGTGTACAAATGAGGTAGAAGGTTTGTAAACATGCTTCTTACAGAAAAGCTGCCCTGGTAATTTGTTTGGTAGTACATCTAAATAGCCTAATCCTTAATTAATCACTATAGGCCATCTTTTGCTTGTTTCATATAGAGCACAGAGCTTTCAAATTTGAGTAATGAGAGAAAATTTCTTCTTTGGTATATATAAAAATTATAATTGCCACCAGAAGCAAGGTAAATCTATAATTGCCAAAGCCAAGACAACAAGATGTTTCTGAAAGTGCTTTAATTAGAGTTTGTTCCACATTGCATCTTATCATGAAATTGAAAATACCAACCATGAAAACTCTCTGTGGATAAGCTTTCTTTGTGCTTTGATCCGTGCTTCCATACAGATTCTTGTATATTAGAATCGTAGATTCAATAGAATTATAGCTTGTATTGTTAATTCGGATGACCGTGATGGAAATTGACTTAATTAAACAAGGAACAGATCAATAAAAACATTTCAAGGGTTTTGGTTATCATGGGTTTCTGATTAAACAAATTTTGAAGTCTATAGAAAAGCCACTAGAGTTAATTTACCAATTGGAACTTTGTGCAAGGTTTGGGATACTCGAACATGGCAATTTTTACTTTCAACCATTGTGACCCTCCTGGAAGTAGTAAGAATTTAAAGGATAAGAATCTGGAAGAAATGAGTACCTTGCAGCTGATGTCATCCAAAACTCATTCTTATTTTAACATCAGCCAAGTATTCCTTACAGTCAAATTTCCCATGTTCTCAGAAATTGTAATTGTAATAAAGTGCCTTGTTGGCTCTAATTCTTCACCCCTCCCTGTAGCATACCTTTTGTCATGTGACTTTGGAGATCCTTCGTAAAGGCAGAGTTTTTATTGCCACCCCTTGTCTTTGAGCTGGCTGTGTGATGTCCTTTGGTCAAAGGAATGTGGGTAGAAGTGTAGGGTGCCAGTCAAAGCCTCAGCCTTAGAGCCTTGCATGTTTCTGTTTACCCTCTTGTAGCTCTGCTATCCCATAAGAAGAACATGCCTGAGGATAAGAGACACGTGGAGCTCAGCCTCCCACCCAGAGTCCAGCCTAGATCAGCCAACCCCCAGGCAACTGCAGACTTGTGAGCAATAATAAATAATTGCTGTTTAAACCACCAACATTTGGGGTGGCTTGTGATGCAGGAGTAGTTAACTCACATGATCCCGTAAAGCAGTTATTGACTTGAGCTTCTCTAGGTTGTGTCCTATAAATACATATAATGTAGAGCTGGTCAAGTTTCTATAATAGGGAAGTTATTATCCAGCTGTAATCTCAAGGAAAGATTATTTCTGTATGATACATCAAAAAATAAGTTACCATCGTTCAGTTCTGGGCTCTGTGCTCTGCTGGGTACTGATACACAGGATGGAATACACAGAAGTGGTTCCCAAGGTCTCAGACATGGGTATATGCTCTCTAGTAACTGAAAAACTGGAACCACAACTGCAAAGGCCATTCAAACGGGAGGCTGTAAAACTTTCTCTTTTCAGGGCTGTTTCCTATAGCCAGGTTTTGTAATATCTTGGCCTTTGTGTGAACACCGAATCCAATGTGGCAAGTACTCTCTCTTGCCTGATTCAGTAGAGGTTCAGGAAGTACGTCTGGTCCTGATTTCCTATAGAGGTGACTGGTTAAGTTAGGTGTGTGGCCCATGGAGGAATGGGAAATGCTCATAGGCTGCAAGCCTCTGAGTATAGTCAGATGTGTGTGAGAGAGGCTGGCCTAGTGTGTGGTCAGATGGTGAGCAGGGAGTAGGACTTCGAAGTGCTCACCATTAGAATAGATAGACAGAGAGATGATCCTGGAAAAGGGCCACTGGGTAGAGGTCAGAGGGCTGGAGTGGATAAAGAGGAGAGCGGGGGGAAGGAAGAGGACAGGTAGAATGCCGAGCTGGAATCAGAGACAACTCAGCTCTTTCCCAGAGGACCTTTATATTAGTTTTTTGTTGTTGTTGTTTTGGGTTTTTTTGCTCGTTTGGATGTGTTTTAGCACCAAGTGGGTTATAGCACCTTGTGGGGACTTTCAGCTTGGTGTCGTGGGTGTTCTGTGTTCTGCACTTCCCTTTCTCTGACATCAAGGACCAGGACCATTTGGAAAGAAGATTGGTCCTCTAGTTTGGAAGAGATATCTTTCTCTGCTCATGAAGCCTCCACATTTGTCAAAGAACTCATGTAGGCTTTGGGCACATGGAAGCCTCATTCAAGGGACAATAGGAAGTTGAGTTCTCTGAGAGCAAGAGACGTTGCTTCTCGGGTCCTTCTCCTGGGTCCTGGGACTTAGATCCTGGCCCCTAGGTTCTGCCATGTCACACCAAAGGAAGCCCTTGGACTCTCTGTCTCCTCCTGCTCAGTCCACGCAGGGCGTTCTGACCCATCTAGATATCAGCAGGGGATGACTCATCAGTGGGCTGCCTCTGAATCATGGCTTGGTCCTGATGTGGAAAGGCAGAGTGAATGCAGCACTTGAAAATTAATGTGAATTGGTGTTCATTTGGGGTTTGTACTTAATGTAATTTGACTCAATGTTAACCCTCCTTTTAGTTTAATAAAATAATGATGGCAGGATATTCAAAGTCGCTCGGATGACTTCATTCCTAATTCAGAATCAGCCTAAATGTCCATCATTTTTGATATTGAACCGTTATATCAAAGTAACTGCTGATATCAAATAATGACTGAGTTGATGAGACTCCGTAATTCATTTTTTTTATTGAAGTACAGTTGATTTACAATGTTGTTAATTTCAGGTGTACAGCAAAGTGATTCAGTTTTTTATATGTGTGTGTGTGTGTGTGTGTGCATTCTTTTTCAGATTCTTTTCCATTATAGGTTATTACAAGATACTGAATATAGTTCCCTGTGCTATACAGTAGGTCCTCGTTGTTTATCTATTTTATATAGAGTAGTGTGTATATGTTAATCCCAAACTCCTAATTTATCCTCCCCCCCCCACCTTTTTCCCCTTTGGTAACCATAAGTTTGTTTTCTATGTCTGTGAATCTATTTCTATTTTGTAAATAAGTTCATTTGTATCATTTTTTTAGATTCCACATATAGGTGACATCATATGATATTTGTCTTTCTCTGTCTGACTTACTTAGTATGATAATCTCTAGGTCCATCCATGTTGCTGCAAATGGCATTATTTCATCTTTTTTATGGCTGAGTAGTATTTCATTGTGTGTGTGTGTGTATATATATATATATATATATACACACACACACACACACATATATCTCACATCTTACTTATCCATTCTTCTGTCAACAGACATTTAGGTTGCTTCTATGTCTTGGCTATTGTGAATAGTGCTGCTATGACATTGGGGTGCATGTATCTTTTCAGATTAGTGTTTTCTCCAAATATATGCCCAGGAGAGGGATTGCTGGATCATATGGCAACTCTATTTTTAGTTTTTAAAGGAACCTCCATACTGTTCTCCATGGGAGATTCTATAATTCTTGATGCAAAACAACTTCAAAATCAGTGCAATTGACCATTTTCTTTTGGAGAGAGGAGCAGATCTTCCCATGGGATCAGCCTCTAGAACTGTTGCTAGTTTTGTTGTATTGATAGTTCTGATTAATCTCTCTCATCATGGTCCATAAATTATTTAAGATGACAAAATAATAATTTTATCCTGTGAACAGCTAAGTAGTCAACGCTTTAAGTTGTTCTAGTTGTTTCATTTCTGGATTATGTCCCTTTATGAGGATCTGAAGTCATATTATCTGAGTTATTTATTTTATTTAATTTTCCCAACAGCCCCCTATTGCCATCCCTCTTTCTCATATGAGGAATTTGAGTCGGCCTTTCAGAGAGGTCCAGCAACTGGCCAACAGTGATACAGTTATAAAGTCATGGAGCCAGAATTTGAACCCAGGCAGACTGACTCCGAACTCCTTGCTCTTAACCTTTATGCTACTAACCTCACCAGATGCCTAAGTCCAAATTACCTACTCTCATATCCTAGCCAATATTTGCAAATAATTTAGAAATGGAGGCTTTCTTTCAGATACATTCTAGGAGGCTATTTTTAAAACACCCTTGAATCATCTTGTTTTCCCCAATATTGATCCTTATTGGCAATATTTAATACAACTTACATTGTACTTGCAGTAAGTACAACTTTTATCTTGGTGACTGGAGGTTCTTGTGTTAATACTACATTTATTTGGTAAACTGAGGTTCTTATATTAATACTACAGTTTAAAAAGCAGCATTTTCCTGTTTTATAAACAAGCTTCAACTTTTCCTTCCTCATCTGTCTGCCTTCTGGTTATATCTAGTAACCATCAATTAACAGTAATGTCAGTAAAACAAGCTTAGCAAAGTGGGGGTAGCAGAAACAGAGTGAAGAACATTATGCCAGGAAGTACTTTAATGCAGGTGGAGCCCTGCCAACTTTTATTATTATAAGAAAACAAAGCAACTTTATTAACCCAACTGACATTATACTTTGGCTTTTCTTTTTATTTTGTTTTATTTTTGAGCATGCAATAGAATTCTTTGTGCTTGGATTTTCCTTATTGTTGTCTGCTACTTGCTTCATGTAAAAGGAAGCTTATTTTAGTGGCAAGATATGTATGTCTTTCAATTTGTATTCACTCATTCTTCTCAGATATCTACACAATTCTCTTATCTATGGTGTTTGAGAAGCAAAAATGCTACTGAAGCAGAACCAATCCAGCACCTTGCTTCCTTTGGTTAGGGCAGAATGTGTTGCAGAAGAAATTATGTTTGCTTCTGAGCTGCCCCAGGAGCAACTAAATCCCCTGAAAGGATTATAAATAATGACAATTTTTATGCATAACTTTGCTCCATTACTAGTATCTATTACCAGAAAAATCCAAAACAAAATAAAAAGGAAGCTCCAAGCAATATCAGACTTTGTCATTGAGGTTGCAGACAATAGGAGCTCAGGCCTGTCGGGGCCCCTCCACTGCCCCCAGACCCTCTTCATCCCCTCCCTTTGCAGATGCTCATGGGCAGATTGACAGAATTTGGTAGCTATCTGAATATCTAAAGAGGAAAAATATATATCCAGTAAATGTATTCAGCTTTCTCATCAATTTTTCTCTTCAGGAAAGAATAAAATGTAGAAACATCTTCATATTTCCATGCTTTAAACACACCCTTAAAGTCTTCATTTGGTATAAATTCAGATTTTGTGTGCCTCTCTCTTTAATGAAAATTCGCAAACCAGGTCTCATCTAAGAAAAAAATAAAACATTGGTTGCTCTGCTTTAACTTTCTATTATAGAAATTTTCCATTGTTTGCACAATTGAGAGAATAGCACATATAATGAGCCCTCATATATCTGTCACCCTGCTTCAATTATCAACATTTTGATAATCTTGTTTCATCTATTCCTGCTGTACTTTTTTCTTATTTTTTTAAAATTTTTTATTTTATTTTATTTTAATTTATTTATTTTTGGTTGCAGTGCATCTTCATTGCTGCGTGCGGGCTTTCTCTAGTTGCTGCGAGTGGGGGCTACTCTGTTGTGGTGAGCGGGCTTCTCATTGTGGTGGCTTCTCTTGCTGTGCAGCACGGGCTCTAGGCACGCAGGCTTCAGTAGTTGTGGCATGCGGGCTCAGCAGTTGTGGCTCACGGGCTCTAGAGCGCAGGCTCAGTAGTTGTGGCACATGGGCTTAGTTGCTCCGCGGCATGTGGGATCCTCCCGGAGCAGGGCTCAAACCCGTGTCCCCTGCATTGGCAGGTGGATTCTTAACCACTGCGCCACCAGGGAAGTCCCTCCTGCCGTACTCTTTCTTACTTTCCACCCCACTGCCCAGGTCTCCAATGCAGTATGTTTAGAACAATTCCTAGACACATCATTTCATCAATAAATACTTTAGTTTGTATCTCTAACTGGTAATTGTTTGTTTTTTTACATAATCACTATGGCATTATCAT